TCCTTACAGCCAGGTCGGCCGGGTGCTCTGTGTCAGTGCCGCTGCATTGGGGAGCTGGGCGAGCGGGGCTTGGGGGGGGCAGGTGAGCAGGCAGAGGCCCGTCCTCATCCTCGTCCTCGTCCTCGAGTGGCCCTGGCCCAGCAGGCGGGGACCCCTGCCCACTCCCCACCCCTATTTATTTCCGTTGTCTCTATGCTGTGTCGGCCAACACTCCCCAGGGTGCTGCCGCCACCCACCCCAGCCAGCCACCTGCTCCCTGACAGCCAGCAGCTGTATATTTGACAAAGTCATTGGTATATTTTTACTTACTGGATTTTCCTTGCACTTTACCTGTTCTTTTCCAGGGCCGACAGCACGGGCTGGGGGCAGTGTTCCTGGCTTAGCTTCCCTTCCCCATGGCTGGGGGCTAGGGCAGGACTCACCAATTCTTATTTATTTTATCTTTTGATTTCCCAGTAGTCGAGGGGAAGGCTGATGTCAGGAGAGGGAGAGGGGGTGGAGGAGGTGGTGCTGTGGGGTCAGGGAGAAGGGAGGGGAGCATGCGACATGCGAGGGACGGAAATGACCTCCTGGCACCGGGCTCCCCCGCCCAGGCCCCTGCCCCCAGCGCGGAAGCCCAGCACTGCCCTGAGGCCCCCAGCTGCTCCTTCCTGCAGCCCAGTTCACACCACACAGACTCTGCCTGGACCCTACGTCTGCCTCCCACCCCCCACCCCTGCCCTTCGGGCACCAGCCTGCATACGTGTTCACTTTTATTTAAATAAACTTGTGTGGTAAAAGTCCATGCCATGTCTCCCTCCACTGGGCTACAGCCTGGGTCTCGGTGCTTTCCACCTCCTGTGCGCCCCTCTTTCAAGGTGACCGCTGCACAGCACAGCCTCATTGTCAGCCTCTCACAAGCCCAGAGGCTGACCTAGTCCTGTCTCCCAATGCTAGTGACAGGGGAGTTTGAGGTAAGGCCCCAAACTCCAATCCCTGAGGAGGAGAACTTGCTAGGGCCGTGGCCATGACCAGGGGCAGCCCAGTAAGGTGACTGCATGTAATGGGATGGCCTGGCCAACAGGGACTTCATTTCCATCTCCTTCGGGCCAGCTGGACTGCATGTTGTCCCCACCCCTTGTCAAAGCTCACACAGCTCACAACAGTGATGCAGCTGGGACAAGGGCTTATGTGACAGAGCTGGGAGGATTACAATAAGCAAGTAGCTCTGAGCGCTGAAGCCCAGAAGGACAGCAGTACCTAAGTGATCCTGTCTACAGAACAAGCTCCAGTGGGAACAGGGAATCAGGAACCCTCCCATGTCATCCGCACAGCACCATTCTTGGGGTGTGCCTGACAAAGGGCCATAATAACCAATGTCCTGGAAGCCCAACAGGGACCAGGAGTGCTGAAATGAATGAGAGCCTTGGAGTCACCTAGGCTAGCACCCCATTTGCTGAGGAGAGTGTGAGGCACATGTGCATGACTGTCAAAGTGGTAGAAACCTGGACTCCAATTCTGACCTCTTGACTCAAGGTTCAAGGCTCACCATCAAAGACTGCACAGGTGTGACCTTCAGAGTATTCCTCTAGCTTTAGGCTGGCCCTGGTAGATGTTTCCTCACTATCTTGAGTATGACCCAGATGTAGTTGGTGCTGTGTCTCTCCTGTGGCCCCACCCCACGGCCCTCCTTCAAGACTACCACCATTTCTCTAATGACTCCAGATACAAGCCTTAAATGAGTGATTTGTGTCTGTCCTCCTCATTTTGACTCCCACCTCCACATACATCAATCCCTCTGGCCTTACTCTATCTCTGTTTTTCTCCTCCAACAAGTTATTTGCCTGCTTTTATTTATCTTGATGATTTTTAACTCCTTTGCCTAATTTTTAAAGGCTTTTCCTCCAGTATTACAGGTAGATACTATAAAAGGAATAGGCAATTATTCTTCCTTACCCAGCCTTCATCTTCAGGCCAACACTTCACCCTGATCGTGAAGTGGGTATGGTAGGTATAATAATGCCTCCTTCCAAAGATGTCCACATCATAAACCCCAGAATATGTGAGGTTACATGGCAAAGGGTTATTAAGGTCACAGATGGAATTTAGGCAGCTAATCAGCTGACCTTAAAATAGGAAGAGTAGCCTGGATTATCCAGATGGAGCCAATATAATCACGACGGTCCCTAAGAATAAAAGAGTGAGACGTAAGAGGTCGGAGAGTTACAATGAGAGTGACTCAACCCACTATTGCTGGCTTTGAAGATGGAAGGGTGCTGTGAGACAAGGAATTCAGACAGCCTCTGGAAGCTGGGAAAGGCAAGGAAATGGATTATTTCCTAGAGCCTCCAGAAAGGAACGCAACACTGCAGACAACTTGATTTTAGCCCAGTGAGACCCGTGTCAGATGTCCGCCCTCCAGAACTGTAAGATAACAAACTTACATTTTTTAAGCCATTAAATTTATAGCACTTTGTTTCAGTAGCAATAGAAAAGTAATACCGTGGGACAGTGTTTCAGTGAGCTCTCTGTTCTTCATGCCCCCACACTAGACACCCACCTGTCTTCCTTGACCCAAGAGATGTTGGGTTTTCAAGCCCCATGCAGGACCTACCGAAGCCCACCTCCATGGCAAGTGGCTAAGGCTGCTCTTTGAATGCCTAGAGCTCAGGGATGTAAAGCCCCTACCTTCTACCCCACCTCTTCCTGCTACCTCATACTAAGTGTATCTGTCCTCTGGAACACTTAAGATGGTATTCTTCTGTTTATACATTTGCCTCCCACGCAGGCTTCAAGTTCCTCACAAGCAAGTGAGGTGTATCCCCTAGCACTACCTAGCACAGGGCCTGACACAGAGAAGGTGCTTAGGAAACACTGCTGGATAAGTAAATGAATGACTTCTATCCCCTAGATGCCAAGTTACAACTGATAGCTTCCAGACTATTCCAATGAAAGAAAAGAAAGTCCCTCCCCTACACTTCTATGTGTCTCCACCTAGCACACCCTCCTTTGCCTCTGTGGAAAGCCAGTGCCGTTTCTCTTCCAAAAATGATCACTTCTGGGATCATACACGTGACACAGAAGGGATTGAATAAAGAGAGGATATTGTTGTTGGTCTCTCAGTAGAGATCTGAAAAATGAATTGATTAATAATCAGCTCAAATATGGTTCTTGGCAAAAGCCCTCTATCTCAGAGCTACGTGATGCAAAGTCAGCCGTGGTCTGGGCTGGAAGCCAGGCAGAAGGCGGCAGCAAGAGCTGGGACTCTCCTACCTCTTGCCTTTCCCCTCCCCCACCCATGCTTCACACAGCCTCATTTACCTTTCCAAAACAGTGGATCATGCATGCCACCACCTTCCCTCTGGCTTCTCAGGGCCCGAAGGATAATGTCCAGATTTGGCAGGCAAAGCCCTTGTCATATGGGTTCAGATCCCTTTCCAGCCTTATCACCTCCAAAATCCCATTATGCACTGTCACATTGAACTACTTCCAGTTCGCCACCCTCTAGGCATTTGTTTAAATCAACAGATCCACACAACTGGTGTATTCTCTCCACCCACCCTGACCCCCAACCAATGAAAATTCTGTTGCTCAGGACCCATCTCAACTGCCATCTCCCTGAGGAAGCCTTCTTCCATCTCCTTCCTAAGGAATGCATCACTCCCTCAGCTGTTCATCCGGTAGGACTTTGGACTCTTACAGTTCTTACTATAATATCTCAGTGTGGCAGGTATGAATCTCATCCTCACACATAGCTGTACACGAAACAGCACATTTCCTTAATTGTGATAAATCACTTTCATTTCACCTTCCCACATTCTCCTCTGCGAGGATGCTTCAAGGTTCTGAGGTCTCACATCATACTGAAAGCATGGTGGAAGGCCCTCCATGTGCCGTCCGAGCAGTAACCTGTCAGGTGTGGTTCCTCAGGTCTGGGACTTTCCACTACTTCCCTGGCACATCTAGAACTTGGGATCAACTTTGTGGTGGGAGTCAGAATGGTTCCTTCCTATTGTCTGCAAGAGGAAACCCAACCCTGGCTGTCCCAGATCCCCAGACTTTTCTCGGCCTCCCATCAGGACTCTCCACCTCTCACCTCCTCTCCGCCAGCCCCCAGGCCCCTAACACTGCCTTTTCCCTCAAGCCCCATCCTCTTCCTTATTCTTTAGCAATAGATTTGTCTACCCCATTAAATCACTAGCAATCATTTAATCACTAGCAACAGAAAAGCCAGCACTTTCCTAGAAGGAAGAAAGCATTTAATCTTCAAACTCTCCCAGGAAGTGAGGAGAATGACTTCCAATCCAGCCTTCTAGTGATACCGTATTTCGCTGAAAATAAGACAGGGTCTTATATTTATTTTTCCTCAAGAAGACACCCTAGGGCTTATTTTCAGGGGATGTGTTTTTTTGTTTTTTTTTTTTAAGTACGGTCCAACAATCTACATTTATTCAAATATAGTTAAGTTGTCTTCTTCTGGAACATCATCATAACTCTCCAAACCCCGAATTCCATCCTGAATTTCTTGCGACTCTATTTCCTTTAGAACCATTGGCCCCAATCTCTCAGGTGGAGCGATACAGCTCTCATGGGGCAGATAAGAAGGGCTGCTCATCTTCTTTACCGCTTGGCGACGAAATGCATAGGTTGTGCAGATACGCTGCGTAGCCACGCCCATCACTAGGTCTTATTTTCGGGGTGGGGCTTATATTGCGCAAAGCTTAGAAATCCTGCTACGGCTTATTTTATGTGTAGGTCTTATTTTCAGGGAAACACGGTACTACCGGTAGAAAAAAAGCAGAATGGAAACAGTTCCAGCAAGCCACTCAATGCAGTGGCCTTCACATAGGCGCTCAATAAAAGTTTTCGGAATGCAATCGCCTCTCATCCCAGCTTCTTGGCCTGGGCACAGGAGGTTACTGCTGGGAGCCTCTGCCCTCCGCAGCCTTTGCCCCACCCACTCCGTTCCGGGAGGAGCTTGGCAGCGCCCAGAGACTACAAGTCCCAGGCTGCCTTGCGGCGGGCGCCGCGCGCGGGCCTGAGAGCAGACGTGGCAGAGTGCGGCTGCAGTGCCGGACCGGAACCGGGAGGTGGCCGGGAGGGAGGGTTCGGAGCCATGGCGGCCAAAGCAGCGGGTGTGGGGCGCTGGGAGGTGGTGAAGAAGGGCCGGCGGCCTGCGGCCAGCGGCAGTAGTCGAGGCGGCGGCGGGGACCGCCGGGCGCTCGGGGAGGCGAACGGAGTGTGGAAATACGACCCGACCCGTGAGTACCCACCCGGCCCGCGCCGCCGCCGACCCCGGGCCTGGCCCGCAGGGTAGCAGCGAGCAACTCGTAGAGCCCAAGAAGGCAGAACACGGCCTGGCTCTCCGAGCGCAATCTCGCAGGCTGACCCCGAGCGCCACCCTTGCGCTGTCTCTTTGGAGCCTCATGAGAGGCAGGCAGCGCAAGGGAGGATTGCGGTCCTCACCTCACGGAAGAGTAAACTGAGGCCTGGTGAAGTTTGACACCTTGCCCAGGATCACGTGTCAGAGGGAACTAGGATTCCAGTCTTCTGACGCTCAGTTCACTGCACACAAGCCTCCCAGCTGTCCCAGGCTCTAGCTGGTCTCTCTGGGCAGGTGTCTGAGAGCTGGGAAGAGGCATCCTGGATCATTATACACGGTGCCCCCTCGTTAAGTAACCAGCAGGGGGTGGTGGTCGTACGGACAGGAGGCCCAGCTGGGAGAAATGACCCGCCACACACTCAACACCGAGTAGGTATTATGCTCAGTGGGGCCTGTTTCCCAGAGGAGTGGGAAAAGCTTGCCACTTGTTGATTATAGAGTTAGCATATCTGAATCAAGAGGCATTGGGGTAAAACCAAGGCAAAAAAAGCCTGTCTTCCCAGACTAGTAGCTACCTACCAAAGAAGCTAGTTCTCTGCATCCCACCCCTCTCCTAGTTCCCACATACTCTGATTTGTCTAATAAAGAACTGCTCCATCTCTATGAAAGAGCCTATGGACTCGAGCTGTGATGATGGAAAGCAACCAGAAGGACTCCCTGCCCTGTTACTTAAGCAGTCCAGCAAGAAGGGGCTTTGATACAGGCTCCTCTATGCAGATGAATTAGGGGACAGTGTGGGGGAAGGGACCACCATTACTGTGAGGCCCTGGGGACTCAAGGGTGCCCCCCCCTTTCTCTGCCTGTCTTCACCCAGCCCCAATCCAGACCACAAGCACTCTTTATGAGCGGGGCTTTGAGAAAATCATGAAGCGGCAGAATAAGGAACAGGTTCCACCCCCTGCTATGGAGCATAAGAAACCAGAGAACAAGAAGCAGCCGAAGAAGGTGGCAGCTCTCACCAACCAAAACCAGAAGCAGGGCCGCTTCCGCAGCCTGGAGGAAGCGCTGAAAGCTGTGAGTGTGCCTAGTCTTCAGGCACGGCAAGAGTGGGGGCTTGAGGTGTAGAGAAGATGAAAGGAGGGCAAGAAGGACAGGCAGCTGAGGGACCTGTGGGATTTGGGACACCATCGGTTGAGAGGAGGAGTTGCAGAAAAGATGAAAACCCCAAGGGAACAGAATGTTGACACTTAGAATAGAAAAGAAGTGGGATGTTTGTGTGGAAACGTAGAATGATGAGAGGAAAGCCTTGAAAACCTGGGAACACCAGAGAGGATGTAAAGAAAGAGGTTGTAGTTCCCTGTCGCACGGAAGCAGTGATCTTTCATTTTCTATCTTGTCCTCTGTTTTCCCCTTGAACATGTGAAGGGCCTAAGAGGATAGGGCATTCATATCAGCATCCTCAGTTATCCTGTTCCTTACTTTCTAAAGATTTGGATATAGCAAAATTACAGCATTCCACATACTTATGCTTAAAAACAAACACTTTTTCCTACCACCACCTACTTCAACCATTTTCCCACCCCTACCCCATTTGCCTACCTGTCACTCACAACTCACCATGGTGGGGGGGTGGGGGAATGTCCCTGGCAGCTGGACGTGGCAGCTCTGCAGAAGGAACTGGACAAGAGCCAGAGCGTGTTCTCTGGGAACCCGTCCGTATGGTTGAAGGACCTGGCCAGCTATCTCAACTACAAGCTCCAAGCTCCTCTAAGTGAACCCACACTAAGCCAGCATACTCATGGTAAGTCTTCCTAACTCCCTCAGCTCAGACAAGTTTAAGAACATTCTAAAGAGGCTGTGTGTTAGTCACAGAGCCCAGTGCCCCCACTGTCCTGATTTCCATGGGTGATATGAGCTATTCTCAGATCATCATGGCTGTGGATGTTGCTGGGGTTCATCGGGAAAGGGAGGATGCCAGCCTCAGTGCTGGGACATTTGCCTCCACTCATGTTCTCAGAACTGGCAGGGCATCTGATCTAGCACTCATGTAGAGGCCCATGGCCACAGATTATCCCTACAGCCTAGTGAGCCGTGAGCTGCGTGGGATCATCCGAGGGCTACTGGCGAAGGCAGCAGGGTCTCTGGAGCTCTTTTTTGACCACTGTCTGTTCACCATGCTGCAAGAGCTGGATAAGACACAAGGTGAGAGAGGCCCACGTGGGGTAACCATCTTGAGAGCCTATTCCTTTATTCCTGCTTCCAACATGGCTGAGTGGTTCTCTTTCCAGTAGAGAAGAAATGTGCTAATCTTGACACTCCTTGGAAAGGGAGGAGGAAGTTAGGATTCACTGGGCCAGGACTTTGGGCTCACCACTGCCAAAAGGGAGATTTCAGGTTTAGAATGCCAAGTAGCATGAGTAGAGCTAAGAACGTGTATCTCTCCAGGGGAGTCCCTACATGGTTACCGCATCTGTATCCAGGCCATTCTGCAAGACAAGCCTAAGATTGCCACCACAAACTTGGGCAAGGTGAGCTCTGGGTGGTGGGGACACTAGGAGGCTAGGACTGGGGAGGCTGGGCAGTTATGGGATAGAGGAAGACTCTGTATGACTAGTAATTCTAGGTAATACTATTAGCACTTACTGTGTGTCTGCTTTGGATATATATGAGGTAGTTACTGCTATCGTTCCCATTTTATAGATGGAAAGATTGAGCCACAGCAGGATTCAGTAACTTTCCTAGGGTTAGTCAACCAATAAATGGCAGAGTGTAGGAGAAGCCCGTGCTTGGAATCACTACACTATGTTGCCATAGTGCTCCATTCTCGCTCAGCCTCCTCCTCCTCCCAATTGACATCTCCCTTCCCACCTGGCTTTGGGGGCTCCTGGTTCTTTGCCCTATCCCAACCTGCCTTCCCCACCGGTCTCCTTAGTTCCTGGAGCTGCTGAGGTCCCACCAGAGCCGACCAGCAAAGTGTCTAACCATCATGTGGGCGCTGGGTCAAGCAGGTTTTGCCAACCTCATTGAGGGACTAAAAGGTAACAAGGAAGTGGAGAAGGAAGAGGGATGCACCTGGAGTCAGGAAGCTCCTGTTTAGTGTCCCCAGTGGGTACCAGCCTGAGGCTTCCTCCCTGCCCTTTATATCCATAGTGTGGCTGGGGATCATGCTGCCTGTTCTGGGCGTCAAGTCTCTGTCTCCCTTTGCCATTGCCTACCTGGATCGACTGCTTCTGTAAGTAATGGGGGGACTTGCCCAGGGTGTCTGCAAGTGGTTGTTTTAGTAAAGTAGGATGCTGTGATCCTGATCTCCATAGGTGTGAGGAAAATCAGGACCAGCCCCTCCCACCTCAGAATGTGATGGTGAGGAAGGGAAAGGAGGGAGCCACTGAGGGCTGGGGTGGGTGTCGTTTATGCCCTTTCTCCTAGATGTTGGCTTAGCTGGGGTCACCGCCAAAACAGCTGGCCTGGGTGATGGTCTCCAGCAAGCCTATTTGTTCCCTCCCCTGCAGGGTGCATCCCAACCTCACCAAGGGTTTTGGCATGATTGGCCCCAAGGACCTCTTCCCACTTCTGGACTTTGCCTATATGCCCAACAACTCCCTGACACCCAGGTAGGACTGCTCTGGGCACACCTGCTGTGAAGGGATCCCATTGCTGGGGGCAGGACCAGGCAGTACATTCCTGTTCCTTCTTTCCTAGCCACCCTGGCTCTGAGATTCATTAGCTGGAAGTTCAGAGGTAGGTTTTAGGGATCAGTGAACCCTTGGAACTCTATGGACCATTGGGTATGATTGGCCTATGAGTATTTTCACAGGAAGAGAATCTGTGGCTTTAAACAGTTTTTCCAAGGCATCTCTGAGTAAAAAGATCCGGAGCCATTGTAAGGCCCTTAGTGACTATACCCCTCAGGCAGGGCATGGGCTCTGAAGCAGGCAAAAGGCTCATGTCACACAGCTCTATTTATAGCCTGTGCCCGACTCTCCTCCCCACCCCTACCCCAGCGTGCAGGAGCATCTGTGTCAGCTTTACCCCCGACTGAAGGTGCTAGCATTTGGAGCAAAGCCGGACTCCACCCTGCATACCTACTTCCCTTCTTTCCTGTCCAGAGCCACCCCTAGCTGTCCCCCTGCAATGAAGAAAGAGGTGAGGAAATGGTAGGAGGCTTCTTTCCCTTTCCCAGGGGTCAGCTGCAATGGTTTCTACATGCTGTCACAGAGCCCATTTCCTAGGCATGTCCTGAGCTGGCTCCTGACAGCCACCTGCCCCACTCACTTGCACTCTGCCCTCAGAAGAATGGACCAGAGAGGGCCGCACATTCAGGTTGGGTGGTGTCTGATGCCCTGTCACTTGCAGACGTGTGATCTTTGAGCTCAAAGCTCTATCTCGGAAGCCCCAGCTTTTTCCTTTACAGCCTCTCAGAGAGCTTTCTGGAGTCTTGACACTATTTCTCTACTCCTTTGGGTGGATGTGTTGCCTGGGCGGCCTCACTCAGGGGAGGATGCTGACCTTTCAACACTCTCCCCCTCCACCAGCCCCATGGCTGTAGCAGTGTCCCCCTTTGTCCCCCCCCAATGCAGCTCCTGGGCAGCCTGACTGAATGCCTGACTGTGGACCCCCTCAGTGCCAGCGTCTGGAGACAGCTGTACCCCAAGCACCTGTCACAGTCCAGGCAGGTGGGGGTAGGGGTGGGGGGGTCGCCCACCTCTAATCCACACAGAGGGGCTTCCCAGTCTGAGGCTGCCCTGGCCCTGTGCTAGAAGCAGAAGGGGAACATGGTCACTGTTCTGTGGGCTCATGCCTCTCAGGTTGAGTGGGAACATTGCTGACATGGCCTCTAGGAAGCTGCTCCTCTGTGGGTGTGTGGGGTGGGTCCTTCAGCCCACAGGAGCCAGGATGGGAGGATAGGGGTGCCAAGCGAGCCGCCTGACTGGAAAGGGTTGTGCTCTCCCCACAGCCTGCTGCTGGAGCACCTGATCAGCTCCTGGGAACGGATTCCCAAGAAGGTGAGGAGCTGGAGGACATGGCAGGCTGGGCCTTGTCTGGATTCTGAATTCATGCCCCTCTGCCATCGTCCTCCCTTCCCTGAGAACATGCTCTGTTGGTGCACTCAGCATGGAAAATGAAACAGGATGGAGGCTCAGGATTCTCTCATGGGTTAGATCTCATGTTCTCAACCCAGACTTTTCTTATCCTATAGGTGCAGAAGTCTTTGCAAGAAACCATTCAGTCCTTTAAGCTTACCAACCAGGAGCTGCTAAGAAAGGGCAACTGTAACAACCAGGATGTCATCACTTGTGACATGGCCTGCAAGGTGCTGGCACCCAGCCCTCTCCAACCCACACACTGTCATGTGTCTCTACCTCAGCACATCCCGAGTTGGGCCTGTGTCACATTCCTGCCCCACCTGTCTGTAGAGCCTCCTGCTGCCTTCAGGATAATGTGAGGGCTTGACGCTCCTAGAAGGCCTGGCTTGAGGTGTGCCTTCTAAGGCAGGGACCAGCCCCTCTCCCTTCTGACCACTGTCTCCTCCCCTCTCCCCACAGGGCCTGTTGCAGCAGGCACGGGGGCCCCGGCTGCCCTGGGCACAGCTACTCCTGTTGCTGCTGGTCTGTGCCATAGGTTTCCTTTGCCATGACTTCCGGTCACACAGCTCTTTCCAGGGTAAGCCACAACTGGCAAGCAAGGGAGATGGCATGGTGGTGGGGCACAGAGCTGGTGATAGCCCCCCTCCAACACAGCTTTGTCCTGATGAGTCCTCAGTACTGCAGAGTAAACACTTTTCAGACAGATTCTTCTGTCCAGAAATAAGATATTATCACTCTGATCAGATTAGTATTTTGCATTATAGAAATGCTTGCATATTCATGGTATCATGTGAGTAGGTGTTATCTCCTTTTAACTCCTGAGGAAATTGAGACTCAGGAAGATTAGCAGCTAGCTAATCACAGCTAGTAAGTTGAAGGGCAAACCCTCAACCTGAGACTTTGTGATGCTTAAGTCCAGGGTTTCACCTGGCTTTACCATTCCTACTCACCTGGCCCAGCAGAAGAAGTGGCTCAGCCCCCAGCCTGGTATGCCTCCTCCAAGCATGCTCCAGAGTAGACTGGAGCCGGCTCTGCAACCCTCGAGCACACAGAGTTCTGCCCCACTGCCTCACAATGTCTGCCCGGGGCCCTGTAGTGTCTGACTCCCCAGTCCTGGCCCCTGTCATCTCCCAGCTCACCAGAGGCCCCCTTTACTCAGCCTCCCTTACTGGCCGATTGCTTCAATCATCTGGTGTCTTGCCTGCTAGCCAACAAGCGTGTGCCAAGCTCTACTCCTACGGCCTGCAAACCTACAGGTGAGCTCCTCCCAGGGAGGGGAGAGGAGAGAAGGCTTAGATGTCAGGGAGGTGAGGGTGACTGGGCCAGGTGTTGACAGTCAGCAGGAAGTGCTTGTAGTTCCCCGTCCCCCCCCACTTTCCCCAGCTGTTCTTTGGGTGCCAAGCTGGCCTGAGGAAACTCAGTACCCTCTTCTCTCCTCTCTTTCTTCTCCTACAGCTGGCTAGAGGAGGCATTGCCAGCCTGGGGCTCCTGCCTGCTCACCATGGTGCAGCCCAGCTTGCAGCTGGCCTGGGCACACACCAATGCCACAGTCAGCTTCCTTTCTACTCACTGTGCCTCCCACCTTGCCTGGTTTGGTGACAGCCTCACCAGCCTCTCTCAGAGGGTAAGCCAGAGACAGGGAGTCAGAGAAGGGCCCACCTTCCCAGGGGCAGAGTTCTTGGGAAGGGGCAGCCCCACGCAGACAGGGTCCTAAGAAACAGGATGCATTCTCCTGGGTACTCTGACTCCATCCATTCTCCATGGTCCAGCTACAGATCCAGCTCCCTGATGCCCTCAGCCAGCTGCTCCATTATCTGAGGGACTTGCTCCTGCTTCTCTACCAGAACGTGCTGCTGCCATTGTGGCAGCTGCTGCTTGAGGCCCTAGCCCAGGCCCAGGAGCACTGCCATGAGGCATGCAGGTGAGACCTTTACCCAGGGCTCTGGCAGGATCCCCAGTGGCCCTGCTCCCTGCCCCTTGCTCATTCCTGGCCACTCTGCCCCACTCACAGCTGCAGCCTCATGAGTTGACACAACTGCACATATATACACCCCAAAATGTTGTGCTTTCCTTCCAGAGGTGAAGTGACGTGGGAGTGCGTGAAAACACAGTTCACCAAGGCTGCCCACTGGACCTGGCTCTGCCTGCAGGACATCACAGTGGCTTTCTTGGACTGGGCACTCGCCATGATATCCCAGCAATAGGCCCTGCCTCCTGGCCACTGGTTTTTGTATGGGCATGCCATCTGAAACTGCTGGGGGGGTGGCAGGGGGCAGTTCTGCATAGGAGTCTTTTTTACTTGGTGCCTGAGTTCTATCTCTTAGGCAAGTGGCCAGTCGCCCCTGCCCCAGTTCTTCCATCTTCAGTGGGTACTGGGCCCAGTGGCCTCTCAGCCACCTACTCACAATTCCACTGAACACTTCTCTAGCCCTGTTGCACACAGCTCCCAGCTCCTCTCTTGGAACTGTGAGAGCTGCTGCTCTCCACTGCCCTCTATCGCGTTTTTAAATCCTCAAACAGCTCATCTTAAAAAGAAGGGACTGCCAGAGTGGCTTCTGTATTCATCTGACAAATGATTCCTGCTTCCAGACTACCCACCTCTTGTTCCCATCTTAGTCACAACTTTAGCCGCAGCAGAAAAAGGAAAGAGACCTCCAGAAAAGTATAGAACCACGTCGGGTAATGGCAGCTTTACCTTTACCTGCAGTCTGGCTTTGGCTGTCAGTGGACACAGGGGCTGGGTGGAAATGCCCGTCACCTCACAACACCCAACGTACCCTCGCTGCCCCCTCCGTCAGAGTCCTACTTCTCAGCTCTCCATTCCCCTTCATGCTGGGAGGCTCTGCCACAAGGCCCAGCTACTCTCCACTGCCCACACTACCCTCCATCTAGAGAGCAGAGCCCAGGCAGCTGTGTGCCTCTGGCCCAGGAGACTTTCCATCATCCTGTTGAGAAGTTCAGCATATGGATCTTGGGTGTGCCTACTAGGTGGAATAAAAGACACCAACTTGACTTCTGGGATTCCTCTCTGCATTCTCATACAGAAATTCCATGGTTAAGGGACAGAACAACAAACTATTAGCCCCTGCCCTCCTGGGGATTATAGCCACTGGCTGTAACTGAGCTGTTGGCAGGGAAAGCCCACATCCATCATTCTAAAGTTTGGCCTGTTGTGGGATCTAGACACTTTCTCGTCTATAATTATATTGTCTGACATGTCACTGTGATACATATCCTAAGGTTTGCCTTATAGCTTTATGCTTAGAAAAGCAGGAGGGAGTCTCCTAGGGGAATTCTTGGCCAGTGATCAGGGGGATGTCCTTTCCTAGCCAGGACCTTAATTTATTAATTGGTTTCTTTTATAAGGCAGTGAAGGAAAGATTTAGAACTCCAAGAGACATGCAAGTCCGGGGTTTATCACCAAAGTCCCTTTTTATTTTTGATATGAGACTATAATAAGTCAGATAACTGCTAGTTTTTCTATTCTCACGTCCACTTTCCTTGAATGTTTCAAATCTAAGCAGTACTGGAGATAAGCTGTCCACTCCATCGCCCCAGGGTTGGTTTCTGTTTCCCCGGTGAACTCCCACACTGATCCGCTGGACCCATGGCCAGTTGCCCCTTCTCATGTGGTGCCCTGAGGTTTTTCCAGTGGTGGGATTATAAAGTAGCAAGTGTAGAAAAACTCGGATACAAAGTGAGGTCACAGAAATAACAGCATCTCCTGTTTTTGCTACTGTTCCTCTTAGGAGTTAGCCCATGTTGGGCAGACCCCATTGCTTTCCTAGTGGCAGTTAACCATGACCATTTTTCCTGGAGAAAAGGAACCCTGCCTGGCAAAGGGCCCAGGTCTAGGACTGCTAGGCAGGATAACTGGGCTCTTTTCAAGGGCATGGGAGAAAAGGGGCAGTTGTGAGGCACAGTCAACAACAGCACAAGGCAGGGAAAATGATACTGCATCCTGCAATGAGTCTGAGGCTGCTGGGCTGAGTCCTTTCCATCCAGCAACTGGGAAAATGCCACAAGTGCTGTGTTGGCCTCTAATGTGTGTACTGTGTTTACTTCATTGAGTTCATTTACCTTCTGACAGTATAACATTTTCCTTTATCAATTTAGATTAGTTGGGGTCTCCATAGCCTCTCACAGGGTCACCGACTCTAACTTAATTGGCTTTATTTGATAGAGTTTTTTGACCCAATGTTGAAATTACCCAGAATTTTTCCCATCAGAGAACTACTCCAACGCTGCACCCACTCTCTATTAAAGCAAAACCAGACATCCAGACCTTTCATGTTTGCAGAGCTGCCAACACAGGAGTCTTGGACTAGCCAGTGCACTCTGGTGCTGGCAGGCAGGGCAGCCACACCATTACTGGCGGTAATGTTACAGGAAGAACAGAAGGGAGCTGGCACCTGAGAGAGTCACATCTGGACATTGTAACTTTTCACACACAGCTGAAGTTTAACAGATAATGTGCTGAAAACCGAAGAGCAGTTTGAGTATGGTTCTCTCTTACTGACTGTCCTTAGTTATTACCAGTTCTTGTATGTACCTGAAAACAATATACGGCTCATTTTGAAATACTTCTTCCTGTTTGTCTAAGCCTCAAGTCAGTGTTCATCTTCCTCTGGTTATTTGTATCCAGGTGACTCTCCTGTTTTAGAGCAGCACAGCTTAAGGGGTGGCCTGACTTACCCTGATGGATAATGTGGCTGGGCTCACACCTGCGGCATGGCCAGTCCATTCTCAAAATGCCACAACCGTAGGGTGGACTGTTTGCTGCAGAGACAGGCATGTTTGCCCGGCCCTATTCCAGAATGGCCCAGTTGTCAATAACAGACATTTCAATGGCTGGATGACCTCTGAGAATTTTGATGTCTTATCTCTCCCAAAGGATAGATAAGTGCATTTAAGTGGACACTTAAAAAGTGATGGATCTTTTTACTACATACCCTTTGCAGTTCTGCTTCCCAAAGAGCTTGAGGGGAGAAAAGGCCTTGTTTTCCCTATATGGTATTCCATTTATACCAAGCAGTTTTGTTGCCCTAGACTTGATGTATAAGAAGGAATTTGGAAGGAGCTTCCACCATTCAGGATATGAGTGGATATTTATTGAATATTAAATATTCTGCCCATGAATAAAAGCATTTAGTTCAAACATGTTGGGTGAAACTTGATATAATTTTTTACTATGTTAGCAATCAGTTATTGATTTTTAATAGACCTTTTTAGAGCAGTTTTAGGTTTACATCAAAATTGAGCAAAAGTACAGAGAGTTTCCATGTCCTTCTCCTCCCATCCCCCACAACACGCATGTGCACATGCGTGCGCACACACACAGCCTCCCCCACCCTCAACATCCTACATCAGGGTGGCACGTTTGTTATAATCAGTAAACCTACATTGACACATCATTGTCACCCAAAGTCTATAGCTTACATTAGGAGTTCATTATCTGTGTTGTGTGTTCTATAGGTTTTAATAAATGTATAATGGCATGGATCCACCATTATATAGAATTGTTTCTTTTTACTGCCCCCAAAATCTCCTATGCTCCACACATTCCTCCCTCCCTCCTTCCTCCAGAACCCCTGGCAACTACTGATCTTTTTATTGTCTCCGGAGTTTTGCCTTCTCCAGAATGCCATATAGTCAAAATCATACAGTACATAGCCATTTCAGATTGACTTCTCTCACTTGGTAATTTGCCTTTAAGTTTCCTCCATGTCTTTTCATGGCTTGATAGCTCATTTCTTTTCAGCACTGTATAATACTCCATTGTATGGATGTACCACAGTTTATCCACTCACCTGTCAAAGGACATCTTGGTTACTTCTGAGTTTTGGCAATTATGAGTAAAGCTGCTATAAACATCTGTGTGCAGTCAGTAGAGACAGGATGATTTAGGAAAAAAAGGACAAAAAAAAAAGATAAAACATCTGTGTGTACACATTTTGTGTGGGCATAGGTTTCAAACACATTTGAGTAAATACCAAGAAGCACAACTGCTTGATTGTATCATATGGTAAGAGTACATTTAGTTTTGTGAGAAGCTGCCAAACTGTCTTCCAAAGTGGCTGTACTATTTTGCATTCTCACCAGCAGTGAATGAGAGTTCCTATTGCTCCACATCCTCACCAGCATTTGGTGTTGTCAGTATTTTGGACTTTCACCATTCTAATAGGTGAATGAAGATAGTGTTGCTTTAATTTGCAATTCCTTAATAAAGTATGATATTGAGCATTTTTTCATATGCTTATTTGCCACTCGTATGTCTTCTTTGGTTGGATGTCCATTCCGATCCTTTCTCCATTTTTCAACTGGGTTGATCATTTTCTTATTGTTGAGTTTTAAGCATTCTTTGAGTATTTGGATAACAGTCCTTTGCAGATATGCTTTTTGCAAATATTTTCTCCCAGTCTGTGACCTTCAAAATTGTTTTAATTATTATCTTCTCCATTATTTACAATAAAGCATTTATCCCTTTCATAGTTTAGTATACTCCCAAATACCCCAACCTTCACCCACAGATACTGTTCAGGTAAATGAGTGGATGCTATTTATTAACAGCTCATCTCATTTACAAGGCTAGGCGATATCCAATCTGTTTCAGACAATTCCATAAAAGGTTACTACACATATTTTAAATTATAGTGCCTCCCACCAAAGAGAAAAAGGGTTACATTCCGGGTCCCAAATGAGAAGGGGATTCAGATGAAGTGAGATTCTAATTCTTGTTTTTAATAGTCACAGAGAACTAACAGATTTAGAAAACTATACTGAAAAAAAGAAAACTCAGTTGCTTCATTTAAATAAGGATTTGATAGCACATTTACTGTGTTCTCACTGGGCCACATATTCCATAATTCCTGGGCCCACAGCCACTTCTCCTGGTGGTTTGGCTCCATATCTATATGCTGCTGAGGGATCTGGAATTATGGGTATTTATTCAGGGACAGAATGCTGCCTTGGAATAATCTTTCCAATTCAGTAGGGAGTAAGACAGTGGGGTTGAAAGTGACACCTAAAAATATTTTCTTGAGGCATTAGAGGGAAAGCGATACTGTCTACTCTTGGGCCTGGGTGTCTGCAGGGTTAAAGCTATGAAGGAAAGAGTTGCTTAGTCTTCACATATGGTCAGATGTCACTTACAGATTGTCAACTGCCCAGATCAAGGATTATTGGAAGAAAATTATATTTCTACATACTGTAGGGTGGAAGAAAGAATAGGTTTAATAAGATCCCAAAGTGATGATGGTAGAGGAAATCCTGAAGGCAGTGACACGTAATTTAAAATTGGTCTCTATAGTTCACTCAGTACCTAAATAATAGAAGGCCATTAAGTCAGATTCCCCTAGAAGCCAAATCAGGGCCAATGGGCATGCTAGCTGGACAAATCCTCACTGAGGGTGATGGCTATGAAGTTATCGAGACTCCAATAAGTCATGAACCTGGACGGGCCTACTATCACCATCATTATTAAACATCATGTGAACATTCTAGACTACCGGTTCTCAAAGTGTGGTCAGTGGACTCTGGGGATCCTTGGGACGAGCGAGACCCTTTCTGGGATTCTAAGAAGTTGGAATTATTTTCATAGTAACGCTAAGATGTCATTTGCCTTTGTTGACATTTGCTGTTTTGAGTGCAAAAGCAAGTGAAACTGCTAGTACATTAACATGAATCAAGGCAGTGGCACCAAAGTGTACTAATAGATTCTTCACCACCACACATTCACATTATTTAAAAAACCCAATTCCTTAGGTTTGTCCTAAGAAATCGAATGTCCTTGATGAAGCAGTAAAATTTATTACTTTTGTTAAAACATATCTTTTTAAATTTCTTTTTTTTTTTTTTTTTTTTTGAGACAGAGTCTCACTTTGTTGCCCAGGCTAGAGTGAGTGCCGTGGCGTCAGCCTAGCTCACAGCAACCTCAAACTCCTGGGCTCAGGCAATCCTCCTGCCTCAGCCTCCCAAGTAGCTGGGACTACAGGCATGCAGCACCATGCCCG